TCTCCACACTCACATGAAATATATATATATATAACACCTGAAACATTACTACTTACAAATCGAACATCTACTTTCATCCATTTTATAAAAGTCCTGATGGTTTGAGAGTAAATATATCAGTTTAATAGTTCAAAAATATCACATAAATATTAGATTTTGTAAATATTGTTAAGCTGACCTAAGTCGATACATAAAAAGAGTAATTCAGCTACAAAAATAACTTAAAAATACATTCAATCCAGTATGGGTCATACCCGCATAGATGTTCGAAGCTGCAATCACACAGTCGCAATTCATCTCTTCACTATTTTGGGGAAAAAATTTGCGTACGAAAGAAGTACACAGCGCTGTGTACATAATGAATGTTATATTCACGTTATATCAGCATTATATTCGTGTTATATCCCTTATAACCTCCATATAACTTCCATGTAACATATAGATATGTGAAAACAGAAGCGCGGAACTTCTTTGTAAGGTTACAAGTAGGTTATATGAATGTTACATTGAAGCTACAGACGATATAACATAGATATAATGTCAATACCTCTTATGTACACATATTTTTTCCCAATTATAAAGTGGGTTGGGTTCAACACCTATTGAACCACGTGGAGTAGCGTCTCCATGGACCTCTCCTCTCCCTATGGCCAACACTGTCCTCTTCGTAGAGCTTGAGGTTACCACCCAACTGATAAGGCTGACCCAGATACTCGGCTTCTGTGTGGCGCTCATGGATCCAACTCTCCCCCGCCCCCTTCCCCTCCCCCTCCACCTATTTAAATCACCAAACTTCCACCTCCATCATCTCGCTCCCCTCCATTTCCCACCAACAAACCGCCGCCCGCCGGCCAACTGCCGCCACTCATGAACTTCGAGTACTTCATCGTCAAAGCTCCGAGCTTTGCTGCTTTCTGCTCCATTGTGATGGTTCTGAACAATCCCCGGAACTGAGCAATTGCTTGCTCTTTCGACTGAGTTTGTGGGAGGATGTGCTCATTGACTTTCCCCTGTTTGGATCTCACCAAAAGAAGCTTTGATGCGGCAGGTTTGCTGAGGAGTTACCGAAGGCCGGAGATTTCATTTTCGGGGACTTACCGGCGCGCAGAAAGTGTTCGATGTAAGGTCTCATCAGCGCAAAATGGTATTTTGCTTCAGAACTTTATTTTATGTGGCGGGAGAGTGAGATTTTGTGTTCCTGATTTGATTTGATGTGGGTTTTGTAGTGGCCGTTGGGATCTCAGCACCTGTTGAAGGTTTGGTTGCCACGGGTGATAGAAAGAGTACCATTTCGGTGTCTGATTTACTTAGTGTAATTGCTGATGACTTGCAGAATCTGAACAAGAATTTAAAATCTGTGAGTCCAAGCTTCAATCTTTCTTACTGAAAGGTCTGCTCATTTCCTTTCTTTTATGTTTTAGTTGATTTTTTTTAGCTTATTTGTGCTTTTGTTGATCGAGAAAAAAAGTGTAACTTTGCCGGACCGTGCTTTTCACTGTTACACTATCCTCTCCTGTAGGTGAAAGCTTAAATAAAAGGCTAAAACAACCAGTTGGTAGCAGAAACGTTGAATTACTTGCTTTGTTTTTGCAGAGCAGAGCACTAAACAGATTATTGATCTGTTTGTACTATCACTTGAAAAAATCCATCTTTTTCCTGGTTCTTTGCACTCTTCTATAAATGTTAAGCTCGTATAGTTTTCAGATGCAAATTATTGGGAATCTAAAGTAGACATATTACTACCGAAAATTTTTGGGGTTTTCTCTTCAAGGATCTAACCTTCTGCAACAAAAAAATGCATTTCTATGGGATCATTATGTAGACGAGTGACAACTTTCTTTGGTCTTTGGCTTCATTAAGTCAACTGAACAAGTATTTGTAATTCGTCTTGTCATATGCGTGCTGACGAAAAGAGTTTTATTTTTTGTTCAAGTTCAGTAGACTTCAGCATGAATCTTCTAGGACTTGAGTTGTGCTTAGTAAACCAGATGATGGACTACCATCTAGTCATAAGCTCAAGCTAATAAGTAAGATGTCCCTACGGCTATATAATGATACCATTCTTTTGTCTAACAGCGGGCGTGGACCATTCTTCAACCGATAAATCTCATGTTAACTCTGCCGTCTCTTATGTAAATAGAAGTCCTCCACATTACCAATTACATGAAAACAATTACTTAGCGCCGATATACTCAAGTATGGGTAGGGTTGTTAACGATCCGAGCTGTGGTCGGCTCAAAATCGGCTTGAAAAAAAATTGATTCAAAATTTTAGCTCATAGTTCGACTCAATTATTTTGATCCGATCTTGATTCGAGCCAAAATTCGAATCAATTTTCGAGAGATTAACAATCTTCAAGCTAAATTCATTAAATTCACAGCCCTAACTGACTAAAGTTGTTAACAATCTGATTTCGAGCTGTGGCTCAAAAAAATTTGATCCAAAATTTTAGCTTGTAGCTCGACTTGTTTATTTCGATCCAAACCTAAATATGGGGAGCAGCTAGGAGCCACTTGATCTTGAACTTTGCTCAGCCTTGGGATCCAAATAATATGGATCAATCCTTTTTTGTCAACTTATCAGCTTTCTTACAACTTAAAAGGGGATGGGAGCTAGCAATTTTAGTTGTGATTGATATTCAAATGGATAGATGAAATCCAATAAACCATTAGTAGTAAGTCAATTGATAAGATCCGCTTCTATTACATAAGCCTCTAAAATCCAAATCCTTGTTAGTATTCTTCAACTATCTCTTAATTGATACTAAGTTTTTAAGCACTTGCAAAATTTTGTTAAGTTTTCTCCATCAAAAAAAAAAAAAAAAGATAAAAAGGCCTTTGGAGTTCACTTCTTTCGGATAACAATGAACCAATAAAAGATGGGGGCATGTCATATACTTTTGCTTGGTAAGTATTTATATTGGTCAACCTAACCAGAAATGTTGTGGCTTGAGTTTAATTATATATTTTATAGGCAGTATTTTTCTAATCTATTAAACTGCTTTTGAGTCTTTATGATACTCTCTTATCGATTGTACTCTACTTCATTTTGACTACCTGATTTTAACACTAAAATATATATCCTCTCTACATATTTTTTTTAGTATATTAGGTCCAAAATACTTAATTCCATCACACTTATAAATCATTTCATCTTCCAACTGTACTGAACAATAATTATCAAATTTAAAACCCCTAGAAAAAATTAATTTATGCTAATTCTAAATCCATGATTTTCTATTTTTATTCAATTGTTCTAATATTTTCTTACTTAAAAAAAAAACTCACCAATTCAAACTATATTAAAACTATTTATATGCAAATAACACATACCAATGAGCATTATTTTAAAGATTTTTCTATATATCCATAATCTCTACAAATGTGATATGGACATAATATTATGTTTGATGTAATCCAATTGCAACTAAAATCTCTTTGGTCACTCCCCATATTTTTTTATGGTAATCGCTACTCTATTAGGCATAACTTGAGTTTTTTCGAAATATCTTTCACTTTCTCTTTTCATAATACCAACCAAATATAGAGGAGAGGAGAGGGAATATGATTGATGAGATTTGAAAGAGTCAATATTACATTCGCTTATATTTGATGAAGAACATTAATATAGAGCATTGATGTTAGTAAAATATCAATCAAATGGTGATTTACCTCATATGAAACATTGAAGTCCAATCAACATCAAGCAGGTGGTGACTTCTTGCATTCATTAATATCATTTTATTGAGATGCATATGAATAAGAAATTAATGAATTTTGCTATTATTGAAACAAAATATTTGAAATTAAAATTATATCAAATTTAAAGCGTTATTATCACATAAATTTTTTATTAAGTTGGCAATCAAATGTTTATTTTCTTATTAAAATATTGAAATTCATGAATGACATTTGACTAACATTTGATTAAGAGTACTTAGTGAACATTGAGTAATCATCTATGCATATATCAAAATATTTGAATTCTACGTAAGTAAGAATAGAAGTAGTGTTACCGGAACTAATAAGGATTTAAGGGAACACAAAAGCAAATTTTTATTAATATAAAAAGAGGGTTACAACACGAAACAATGGAAAGGAAAAAACAACGACAGACCATTCTTCGTCTAGGGTCGAAAGAGTAGATTTGAGGGCAGGGCGGCGTCTGCAACATAGTGAGGTTATGGAGGAGGTTTTGTTGGTGGCGAGGTCGGTTAGGTAGGGGTTTGGGGTTCAGTAAGTGGGCTTGACAGTGAGAGTGGCTGTAGTAAAAGGTTGTCAGGGGCTGGCAGGTAGTCCAGAGGGCCGAGATAACCTAGTGGAGGGCAATAATGGGGGCAGCCTGAAGTGGGGAGCGTCTGTCGGAGTGGACAACAAGTAGAAATGCAGGAAATAAGAGGGGCCCGAGATAACCTAGTGGAGGGCAATAATGGGGGCAGCCTGAAGTGGGGAGCGTCTGTCGGAGTGGACAACAAGTAGAAATGCAGGAAATAAGATTTGGCAGGCTGGGATGGGGTCTGGACAGCAGGTTAGGCCACTGGAAAAGACTGACTGGGTGCTGAGAGGAAATCTAGGAAGTTGGACAGCAATGTTAGGTTGTTTAGGAAGGGCGTATGGGTGCTGGGATGAAGTATGGGGAGGCCAACAACGGAGGAGAGGGGAGGAGAAGGGTTAGGTAAGGGTAAAAGGAAAATACAACACAACCTCAGAGTAGGATACAGTTGAAACACCACCACCATCACCTCCACGGATATAACCCTAAAATAGGGAGAACAGCTCCACACAAGAATCTAAAATCTGAAAACAACAAAGGCTGAGCCTTAAGTCATTGAAAACAACAATATATAGACTCCTATTGGAGGAGAAAAGGAAAGAGGTAGCACACAAAACTTCCACACAAAAGGAAGGGGTGGGAATACTCCAGAAAATAGCCATTAAAGGCTTTCCATTAGGAGAATAGTGCATAAGAAAGGTGGAAGAAGGGGCTGGCGACATTCCTCTATAGGGTGCCCAGTCCATACAAATAGCCTTATGCTCATAAGGCGTCTGGATCGACGCCTTATGCCAGCTAGTTGGCTTTTCTCGCACTTGCCTGCGGGATTTTCCCATACCCGTACGGGATGGATGTTGAGAATCCTCCCAACAATTCTCAATGTTAAATCAGAATAGGAGTACAAGATTCGAGAAAATCAGAATAATACATTTAAACTAGAAGCACAATAAAAAATTAACCTGAAAAAAACACAAGAATTTTACGTGGAAAAATCTGAGAGCGGGGAAAAATCACGGAGCCACACCACCACAAATTTCATGAAAAAATCACGGAGCCACACCACTACAAATTTCGTTATGAATATAAGAGAGTTTATCAAAGGATTCACACTCTTCTCCACACTCACATGAAACTTACAGTGCAGCACTCCATACTCTTCCTACTGATCCGATGCATCAGAATCCTTCTCACCAACACTTCTCACCTTCACCAGGATTTTGTTGATGAACAAACATGAAGAGCTACGTTCTAAGCGCACTCATACACTGCCCAAAATCGTGACATAGATAGTACTTCTCGTGAAAACTGCTTGATTTGGATGCCTGAGCGCCCAGTTCTCTAGAAGCAGGTGCCCCAACGCCAGAAGTGAGGGCCTAAGCACCCAGTTTGAGCGCAGAACTGCCACCTTCTCAGTCTGGGAACACTCAATAGGCGCTTAAACGCTCATAGCCCGATGCCTTGGCGTCGAGTGCACTGAATACGTGGAAGCTAGCTAGCTTGCTGCTCATGAGTGCTACAACCGAACTCCACAACTATTAATCTCCCACTTGGAGACTGATAGTGCCAAGTCCAATCATTTGTACCTGCACCTCCATATGAATTGCCTTCATAGTCACGTACAATGCTCACGTATCGTGGTGTGGCTCACCCCTGATCTCAACCTTCATGAAACCCAACTAAAGCCAAACATGACTTCAGTCTCTCAACAATCACCACCTTCGTTAACATATTTGTGGGATTTTGAGCTGTATGTATCTTTTCTAGAAATAACTACCCATCTTCTAGAAGAGATCAAATAAAATGAAACCTGAGCGGATATGTTTCGTCTTGGCTTGAAAAACAACATTCTTAGTAAGATGAATCACACTTATACTGTTAGTGTAGAGTTTTTCAATCTCTTGCTCCTTGTGTAGTTATACTATGAAACTTTTTAGCCAAATTATCTCATTGCTAGCATCAGTAATAGCAACATATTCGGCCTCTGTAGAAGAAAGTGCAACGATCTTCTGCAACCTGAAAACCCAACTCATCGTTGTGCTCCCCAATGTGAAGATATATCTTATTATATTTCTTCTACTGTCCATA